AGTTTATACGAAGCAGAAAGGAAGCAACAATACGGAAGGAAACAAGAAAGGGAAATGTGTTATATTTTATAGAAGAGCATACGAGCTCCATGAATTAACTAAGAGGAACATTATGTAATATATATGTTACACATATAGGATGTAACAAAATTAATTATTCGCTATATATACATATAGAGTAAGAGAAGGACGCATCCTTTTTTTTTTTTTTTCAAATGCTTTGTCCTTTCATCATGTCTATGGACCAAATGATTACAGAAACAAAACAGAATTATATATCCACGGAGCATTTCTATTTGGAACAATGTAAACCATATTATAATGTAGAAAGCGGAAATATACGGTAAATACCACAAAAAATCATAAGCCATATCATACAAAATGCATACAATATCATTATGAGGGTCCATCTAAGACAATATGTACAAGCATACAGTAACATTGAAGTTGCCTGCCGGAAATACAATACAGGAACTTACTTATGGTTTGTTAGGTGCCTCCGGTTGCTTCGGTACCTCTGATTTTTGTGGAGTACCTCTGGGTTCTGGGGTACTTCTGATGATATTTTGTGCTTCAAAACTTTCTTCGGCACTTTTTCCTTTGCTGTCGGTATTTGCACCGGAATAGCCCAAGTGAGCACATACTACCTATACCCATTCCACCTGCAGCGGCGGCCAAGGCAATCCCAGCTGCACACCAAATGCTAGCACTAAGTCCACAGCTAGTAGCTAGAGTATTAAATGTAGCAGCAGAGACAATCTGAATTATACCCGCAGATGCAAGCGCCAGCATACAGCCAATAGCAAGCATTATTATAGAATAAATGACAATAGCCGCAACGAAGAACTTGCTGTACCTATATATAATATATGTAGCCAATTTGCGTCTACTAAAGTCTCTTCCGGGTTTCATTTTAACGGCATCGTTCTGCTTCCCATTCTTTGTGCTTCCGATGCTTCCGGTGCTTGCGCTCGTTCCTGTAAATTAGGCGTGTGGAATAGGATTCGATGAACATTCTATCTCCCCAACGAGGTGTTTTTAAGGCCACTTTCATTACAACCTCCGTGAAATTTTTATTTTCTCCTCGTGTGTGCGCATATATCCGTTTTACCTGTATCCGACGATCCTTTCGGCTCCTGTTTCGTTTTTCCACTGTTTTTGTCATTTTGTTTGGATGGTGGCAACGAGCCGTCTTCACCAACCTTCGAAACGGATGTTCGGGACTTGTTAACTGATGCAGCGACTGCTACATCGGCAGATAATGTGTCGCCGTTATCGACTTCTTCTTCCCTTGCATCATGTTCTATTTTCCACTTTCCATAATAATGCACTTGTTGTGGTATCTCGTACTCCACCACTTTCCGTTCTTTTAGAATAGTTCCATCTTCCTCATCCTCCCATTGTCCGTCCGAATATATTCGTTTCGGGGAACATGCATAGTCTTCTTCATAAGGTTGTTCCACATCGTCGTAGGCACCGTCATAGTGTTCGAATACCATCGGATCTAATTCAAGCTCATCTTCTGATGGAGCTGCGCTTCCTTTTGCTAACCTGCGAGCACCTCTGTTATATACCTGTACTTTGGCGACATGTTCTTCTTGTGTTTCGACGTCATCCGTATGCTGTAGAAAGGGGAAGCGAAGGTGGAAGTGGTGATGCGTTGTATTAATAAAGGAATGGTAATACGACACAGGAACAAAGGGGAAGTAAGAACCGGAAGGACAAAAATATACATATAAATATTCGGGCATATTGCGTACGGCATATATGTAAGCAGTCATAAAACGTCCCATTCTCCACATCTATATGTGATTATGTAATATTTCATACTCGACTTACCCTTAAGAAGATGCAAGCAACAGCAAAAAGGATAGCACATTTTTTGAAGAAGAGGGATACATGCGCCCTTGTGCCATGTGTTTCATTTCCTTTCCTGGATGTGTCAACGGTTTTGCCATTTCGGCATTGCCACGTTCCTTGTGAAACGTTGCTTGTCGATATTGTGTTCAAGTGTGCCATGTTGCGAATACTTATATAAAACGGAAATGTACACGGGGTTGTGCTTTTCGCTTTTCTTTTTTTATTTACGCTACGGCTAGAAGCAAATTATGCAAAGAGAAAGAAAAGAAAAGAAATTAGAGAAATGAATGAACACAAAATTTTTTGCTTTCACGTCAGCATATAGCAGTGTGAGAAGTGTTGTGCTTCTTTTTTTTTTTTTTTTTTGTTTTTTCTGGATTGAGCCATATAGGAACCTGTTGTAATTTACTTTTCCATCAATCTGCATATACATAATTATTTCTATTATTGTGCAAAATGCACAAAAAAAAAATAAAACGAAAAATGGGAATTAAGTCAAAATAAATTATGATACAACTAAAAAGAAATTATGCCGAAAAAAAAAAAAAAAAAAAAAAAAGCACAATACACAGAAGATACATTTTTTTGAGCTTTAGAAGAGGAAACATCGTTTTAAAATTAGAATAATGTGTGGGGGTTCAGTTGTAAGGTTTTAGATGGAAAATGTTTCTTTTGTAACTGAACCGTTACATATATACAGGAGTATATGTAATTTACGGCTTTATTGC